GAACCAAGGCCTCCAGCCAACAGCCATGTAGATGAGCTTAGAATTGGACCCTACAGTCAGTCAAGCCTTCAGGTGACCGTCACTCTTGGCTGCAGCCTCACGAGAGACCCTGAGCCAGTCTTGCAGCTATGCTGTTACTGGATATCTGATGCTTACAAACAGTGAGATAACAAATCTTGCTGTTTTAAGAAGCTTGGCCGGATGAGGTGGCTCACGCCTGTAATCCCAGCACTTTGGTAGGCTGAGGGCGGGTAGATCACTTTAAGTCAGGAGTTTGAGACCAGACTGGCCAACATAGTGAAACCCCGTCTCTACTAAAAATTCAAAAATTAGCTAGGTGTGGTGGTGGGTGCCTGTAGTCCCAGATAGTCAGGAGGCTGAGGCATGAGAATCACTTGAACCCGGGAGGAGGAGGTTGCAGTGAGCCAAGATGGCGCCACTGCACTCCAGCCTCGGTGAAAGAGCAAAACTCTATCTCAAAAAAAAAAAAAAAAGCTAAATTTTGGGATAATTTGTTACACAGCAATCAATAATTAATATTGGGCATGATACAAACCCCAAGGAGGAGCTCAGGAGAGGCTGAGGTGGAGTTAGGCACATTCCCAGGAGTGATACTGGGGCTCAGTCTTTCTGGTTGTGTGGAGTTAGGCAGGTCAGGAAGGCAAGGAAGGGTGAGCATAGGACCCCTGCCACTTTGAGGAAACTCCCCGTAGTTCTATATGGCTTGGACTCCATAGGGGAGGTGATGAGGACCAAGTCAGCAAGGGCTTCAGGTTCTGTGCCACAAAGTTTGATCTTCAAGGGGAGTCCTTGAAGGATTTTAAGCAGAAAGACAGCAAGCTTACGTTCTCATATTAAACAGATCACTCCAAACACAGCAGCAGAACAAAATAGTCAAAGGAAGCAGGCGCAACTGGAGTGGGGTGCTCAGCTGGAGGTTGCTGGAATAGTCCATGAACCTGGCAGGAAAGCAGCACCAGTTCTGCTCTGCAGATAAACCACACCATGCACAGAGTGGTCCAAAACCACCAGGCAAAGTGAGTCACAGGCCAATAACACAATGGTACGCTGAAGAAGAACCCAGGCCTCTCTCCACCTGGACACTTGTCCCTGGGCAGAGAGTAGCCTCTCTCTTAGGTTTCTTGTCTGTAATCAGCTGGCTGGAGCCAGAGGCCAGCTGAAGCAGGGGGTGCTTGGAGTTCCCTAGATCCCTTTTGGAGGGAAGGACAAGGGGCCCATAAGCTGGAATGGCACCTTAGGGAAGGGCTTACGAGACACAAAATGTCACAGCTGGAGAGACCCTAGGAAAAAGCCTCCTCTATTCCTTAACCTTATTACTATTACATTTTTGAGACGGAGTCTTGCACTGTCGCCCGAGCTGGGGTGCAGTGGCACGATCTCAGCTCACTGCAACCTCTGCCTCCCAGATTCAAGCAATTCTCCTGCCTCAGCCTCCCGAGTAGTTGGGATTTGAGGCACCTGCCACCACACCTGGCTAATTTTTTGTATTTTTAGTAGAGATGGGGTTTCACTATTTTGGCTTAGGCTGGTCTCGAACTCCTAACCTCGTGATCTGCCTGCCTCGGCCTCCTAAAATGCTGGGACTACAGGCATAAGCCACCACACCCGGCCCCAACCTTATTTTTTTAAATTTAAAAAAATATATATTTTGAGGCAGGGTCTCATTTGGTTGCCCAGGCCAGAGTGCAGTGGCATGATCATAGCTCACTGCAGCCTCAAACCCCTGGGCTCAAGTGATCCTCCCACTTCAGCCTCCCAAGCAGCTGGGACTACAAGCGAGCACCACCATGCCTGGCTAATTATTTTATTTTTTGTAGAAATGAGTTCTCATTTTGTTGCCTAGGCTGTTCTCGAACTCCTGGCCTCAAGCAATCCTCCCACTTTGGCCTCCCACAGTGTTGGGATTATAGGTGTGAGCCACCACACCCAGCAGACCCCTAACTTTAAAGATAAGGAAACAGAGGCCCAGAAAGGTCTTGCCCAAGGCTCTATAACCCTGAGAAAAGCAGAGATGCCAGCTGGGCCCAGTGGTGTGTACTTGTAGTCCCAGCTACTCAGGAGGCTGAGGCGGGAGGATTACTTGAGCCTGGGAGGTCGAGGCTGCAGTGAGCCCTGCTGATGCCACTGTACTCCAGGTTGGGAAACAAAGTGAGATCCTGTCTAAACAAAATAAATAAATAACAGCAGGGTGTGGTGACTCACACATCTAATCTCAGCACTCTGGGAGGCCGAGGCCAGAGGATCACTTGAGCCAGGAGTTTGAGACCAACCTGGGGAATAGAATGAGACCTCATCTCTACAAAAATACAAAATAAAAATAACTCTTTGTTACAAAGCTTTTACAGAGCTTTACAACAAAGGATAGAGCCCTACACATAAAATTTCTAGGCCAGAGCATGTTCACATTGCAATGCTATTCACAATATGAGCCCGGCAGGAACGCCTGGCAGTGCTTCTGCCTCTTCTCCCAGGAAAAGCACTGCTGCTCAAGGCTCATCCCCCACTTCCTTCCCCTGACTCCCCTGAGAGCCAGGCCCAATGAGCTTCCCTGCATTTTGCCTGGAACTCGGCTTCTTTCTTGTCTGGGCGGGATTAAGAGCCAACTCTATCGTGTCCCTGCCTGTCTCTGGCTTCACCTTCACCGGTGATGACTGCTTTGCACTCTGGCTTCCAGCTCAGGCCCTGCCCCACCTCTGAGCTCTTAACTCTCCTAAGACTATGGAATTCCCCTGCCACAGCCTGCAACTTCTCCAGTGGACATAGGGACTGCTATTGCCATCTAAGAGGAAAGGGGATATGGGGGGTTGAAAAAGTTGGGATTGCTCAGCAAGCTGGGACCACAACAGGGGTTCTGGGGCCACATCCTTCGCCCTGCAGGGAGGGGTGTGGCTTCTGCTTGCCTCAGGGTCAGGTTCCATCCCAGTCCTTGGGTTTGGCTGGAATGAGCTCTAATTATTTCAGCCAAGCCCCATCTTTTCCAAGGGCTTATGGGGACCAGACCTGTTGACTCTCCTCATTTTCTGCACCCTGGATTCCCTAACCAGGCCACTCAGAAGAGAACTCCCATCCTTCTCCTGGCGATATCCTGGGAGCTCTGTGGCTCTGCCCTTAGCCCTCCTCTGGCTCTCGGCGTGGTGAAGGTGGTAGGGAATGATGGAAGGTAAACCCCAGGAACAGGAGGAGGCCCCCAAAACTCCCAAAGCTCTGTCAGGAGGATCTGTCTCCATGTTAACTCCCTCCACAGGCCTTACCAGGGCCCAGCCATCAACGGTGCCAACCAAAAGTCCCATGCCCAGCTCTCACTCTCCCTCCCACCTCCCAAGCTGCAGTTAAACAGGAGATCAGGACGATGGAAGCTCCCCATGTGTAGTCTCTCTGAGGTGCAGCCACCTCCACATGCTGCGAGAAACCGGCCTATCAGTTCAGCCACAGTGGCAAGTGGGCGTGGCGCTTTGTACTGTGCTATCGAGTCTGACCCTTGATCTGGCATCAGCTTCTACCCTCCTTGCTTACTGTTTCCAGCAAACAGCCACAGCTCTCCTGTGTCGAATAACGTGCAACATCATGTGTACACATTTTGTGGGGAAAATGAAAGCGATCCGAGACTTTAGGACTGATCCAGCCACGCCGGGAGGCAATGAAAGGAAGGGCCCCTCATCCCCCTTCATTCCCCTCTCAAAGCTGAAAACTCAGTAGAAGAACCAGAAAGCTCAGCCCTGGATTTATATGTCTCTTTGCTATGCCATCATGGCAGTATAAATGGTTAGTGTTAACGTCATTGTTCAAATTGTGCTCCGTGTGGTGGCTCATGCTGTTATCCCAGCACTTTGGGAGACTAAGGTGGGTAGATCACTTAAACCTGGGAGTTCAAGACCTGCCTGGGAAACACGGCAAAACCCTGTCTCTACAAACAAATACAAAAATTAGCTGGGCATAGTAGTGGCATAGTAGTGGACACCTGTAGTCCCAGCCACTCGGGAAGCTGAGGTGAGAGGATCACCTGAGCCTGGGAAGTCGAGGCTGTGGCGAGCCAGGATTGTGCCACTGCACTCCAGCCTGGGTGACCCCGTCTCAAAAAAAAAAAAAAAAAAAAAGGTCAAATTAGGAAAAAATTTTGAAATAACAAACTTCCTTTTGCAACTGCTCTTTTGTTCATCTTCTACCTTAATCCCAGGCACCGAGTTTTCTGTTTGCACTCGTGCTTGCCCTGGGGGTGGTGGGGAAGGACTGAGGAGGGAAAGTCAGAACATGCAGTTCCAGTCCCAGCTATTACTGGCTCTGGAGCTCTGGGCAAGCTACTTCATCTTTCTGACCCTGTTTCCCCATCTGCAATAGAGTGATGTCAATACCCACCGTGTATGGCACTCGGGAGGCAGGAAAAGGTTTGGGTCAACCTGAGTGGGTCTGATCCCGATCCTGGCTCCACCACCCACTGCCTCCACCACCCTGAGCAAGTTCCCTAACTCCTCTGGCCTTCGTTTTTCCCCTTGATGAAAGGGGGGCAGTTAGGTACCACTGACCCCAAAGGGCTGCTGAGAGGATGACAGGAGACAATGTCCAGGGCTGGCCAACAGTAAGTGCTTAAAACATATAGTAGCATTACTCCTTCTTAACAGGTTGTAAATTATAGAGCACGCCTATGTTATCTTAGTAAATTTTATTTAAATATCATACCATTCATAATATTTTAACAAGTTTTAATTAAGACACACGCTTCGGTACCCCTGCCCCGGCTCCATATTGCGCTAACCAAGTGGAATTCTCCTCCTGGCCTGTGCGCGCAGCCGCTGCTCATCCCGCGTCCCCCTCGGACATGCAGCTCTGCCCATCAGGGCCACAGGCAGCCCGGTCCCACCATGGGGGTTGGGGATGCGGACGAGAATATGCCCGTTCCGGGGCGCGCGTCTGGCCCCTCTCTAGGGAGCCGCGTCGGCGGGGCCCCACCCGGCCAATGTCCCGAGGCTCGTACGCGCACTCACCCTCTTGACCAGGAAGCCCTCCTTGAGCACGCCATCCTCCATGTCGCCGCCCGCACGCCAGGGCCACCCCAGGTGCGCCGTCCCCGCGCTTCGCGCTCCTCGGCACCCGCGCGGCCCGCGCAGTCAGCGGCCACGGCGCCCAGGAAGCAGCTCCGACGCGGTTGGGCGACGCCTCCCTGGCCCGTGTCCAGAGCCTGAGGCCCCGGGGCAGGAAGTCAGACCAGGTCGGGATTTCTGACGTGACGTTTCCACCCAAACGTGCTCCAGGGTCGGTGGTTGGTCCTCCAGGTACAGAGCGGCCAGCCCCGCCCTATCCAGGTGCGCCCCGTGCCCCTCACTGTTCCAGTCTCTCTGCTCAGCGTCCTTCTCCAGGTGCTTCCCGGGCACTTAGCACATTGCCCTCAAGGAACGCTTATCGAATTGAACATAACCGAAAGGACCCCAAGATTTGGAGCCATTCCTGTGCTCATTGGAAGTAGGAGATGGGACAGTGGGTGAGCCGAAACTGGTTTGGGAACTTTATCCTGGCCTCTGATGGGGGCAGAGAAGACCTCTCAGTAACAGGAAGGTCACAGTTTTAAGGAGGCAGGCACAGTCTACAGGGCCCCCTGTCCCCAAGATATACCCCGCTCCCTCAAAAAAGATGAAGCCAAAAATTCCATCATTAAGGACAAAATTTAAGGGGCCGCCAAGGAGTCCAGTAATCTAGATAAATTATATATACAGAGAGATGATAGGTTTTTTTTTTGTTTGTTTTTAGAGACAGGGTCTTTCTCTGTCACCCAGGCTGGAGTGCAGTGGTGTGATCATAGCTCACTGCAGCCTTAAACTCTGGGCTTAAGATCCTCCCGCCTCAGCTCCCCAAGTAGCTGGGACTACAAGAGTGCACCACCAGGCCTGGCTGGTTTATTTTTATTTTTTGTAGAGATGGGGTGTTGCTATGTTGCCCAGGCTGGTCTTAACTCCTGGCCTCAAGCAATCCTCCTGCCTGGGCTTCCCAAAGTGCTGGGATTACAGGCAAGAGCCACCATGTAAGACCTAGAAAAAATAATATTTTAATGCATTTTTAAAAAATCAAAATTAATGTCAGAAAATCCACGATGAACAAAATGCTAACATTTTAAATAGATAGGATCAACAACAATGTTCTATCAGGTCATATTGGTGCCTAGAACAAAAGGAAACATCAGTACAGCAGTACTGATTCTGTCTAGCAATCCTTGGAACACAGTCACACTTTTTTTTTATATTTATTGATAATTATAGAGACAGGGTCTCACTGTATTTTAGCCCAGGCTGGTCTCGAACTCCTGGGCTCAAGCAGTCCTCCTGCCTCAGCCTCCCAAAGTGCTGGGATTGTGGGCGTGAGTCATGGGGCCGGCCCACATTATTCGTGCTCCAGTTTGAAGGGCCCTGTCAGGACTCCACCAGGCGTGGGAAAGGCCCTCAGATGCCTGTAAGGGAAGAGAAGGCGTAGAGAGGAAGAAGGTGAACCAGCTTGTGGAAGGTGGGGGGTGCCTTTCAGAACCAGACTGAAGCCAGCTCCCAGGCCAGTCCCTGCCCTGGAGCTCTGGACACAATGCTGCTTCTACGTGTCTGTAGTAGACATAGTACTTACCCCCAACCCCACTCCCACCTGCAGGCCCCAAGGAAAGCTCGCAGGGTCTGGGCCACTGCGTGCCAGCCCAACAGCCCACTCTAGCCTTCTGCACTAACTGGCCTTCAGACTTCCCAGGAAGCCCCAAAGCAGTGGGGCTTCCATTCTGATTCAGAATGAGTATCGGCTTGTCACCTTCTGAAGCCAGGCCTGTAATAGTAGGTGCTAGGTTTTATCTAATGCACAACCCCATGAGGTGTTTATTATATCATTTTCCAGTCAAGGAAACTGAAGCTCCAAGCAGTTAAGTAACTTGCCCAAGGTTACACAGCTCCAGGGCATTGCAAGTCTTGCCCCTTAGGAATTGTCCCAGCTCTGAAACCTAGCTGGGCTGAAAGCCAGGACTTGACAGGTTGAGCTGGAAAGTTCTCATCCTCTTCGACTCTAACTGTGGTCTGTCCATCTCCTTCCTCAAAGAGGCTGTCTTGGCCCCACCCAGACACCATCTTCTGAGGCTTAGAAGAGGTGGCATTTTCTTTGGCAGGAGGGGTTCTTGAATGAATTCACAGAAATGGGAATGGGAGAAAGATGGATACCCTCTCCTGGCAGGGCCCCTGCCAGGAAGAAGTTAAGGCACACGTAGAACCGGCTTCCTGTCCTAGGAAACCCCTGGTCCAGCCCACCCTATCTGACTCACTGGATTTGGGGTATGAGTCATACCCCTTCCTTCCCCAGGCTGTGGTGGCTGAGCCACCAGCCCACCAGGGAACCATGATGACATAAGCCCAACTCACCCATAGGGAAGAGGATGGAGACAGAAGGAAGCAGACAGCAGTAAACAGCCGGGGGAGGGGGCAGGGACGAGAAAGAAGCTTTCAGAGAGACACCCCTCCTCTCCCTCTTAGGCCTGGAGGCTGATGTGGAAGGGTCCCTGGCCCTCTCAGCTCCTCCCCTTTTTGTCCCGAAGAGGAAGGGACAGATAACGCCTAGGGTGCTGAGTTGTAGAAAACTATTAAGTCTGTGTTTGGGTATAGGCGACTCACAACCTGATATGAGATTCTATCATTAGAGATTCATTCCTTTAGCTTCAGATAAGAATCCCCTGTTTAAGATACATAGAGTGGAAAAGGACACATCGTCGAAACTTATTCACAATAAATGCCTGTCCTTCGTGAGTTTATCAGAATCACAGAATCAGAATCTAACCCCTAAAGATCATCAAATCCAGATGCTTCGTTTTATAAATGAGGACCCTCAAAACCCAGGGAAATAAAATTACTCATTCAAGGTCTTGCAGCCAGTTAGTGGTAAAACCAGGGCCAGAATACAGGCTAACGGAGCTCAAGGCTGGCACCTGGCAAATACAGGTCACTGCCCCCAGCAGCGACCTGCATCCAAGCATCGTGCAGTGAGAGGGATGGCTGCAGGCCTGGAAGCGCTCTGTCTGCAGAACTGGAAAAGACTTCAAAAAATGCTTCTACATGTTTTGCTGAACATAAAGATACATTTGTGTACATGATAGAACATTTAGAAAATACCAAAAGGGATAAAACCACCCAGAATCTATCACTCAGACAGATGATCAGTATGTTTATACGCACATGCTTTTTAATTAAATTTTATTCAAAATTTTTGAACCCTGCCTTTTTTTCACTTATAATAACTAATAAGCATCTTACCAGGTCATTAAAAATAATTCAAAAACATAATTTAAATAACTGCATAAAATTTCATGGTGACTGAATTTAATCATTCCCATGTTAAGTTGAATTTCCTTTTTCACTGTGTAAATAATGTTATGATGAATATCTCTGTACATACACATTTTGCCAGATCTCTGATTATTTCAGATAAACATCTAAGGTATAATTTTAGGTTAAAGGGTGTAAATTTTTTAAATTCTTGAAACATATCACAAAACTGCTTTCTAGAAATGTACCACATGCTCTCCTCACCAGCAGCGCATGACAATGCCAGTGTCACAGCGTCTACACCAGCATTCAGTATAGCATTTTAAGGAATATAAATCATTCTATTATAGCGATACATGTATGTGTATGTTCATTGCAGCACTATTCACAATAGCAAAGACATGAAATCAACCCAAATGCCCATCAATGATAGACTAGATAAAGAAAATGTGGTACATGTACACCATGGAATACTATGCAGCCAAAACCAGGAAGGAGATCATGTCCTTTGCAGGGACTTGGATGAAGCTGGAAGCCATTATCCTCAGCAAACTAACACAGGAACAGAAAACCAAATATCGCATGGTCTCACTTATAAGTGGGAACTGAACATTGAGATCACACAGACACAGGGAGGGGAACAGCACACACTGGGGCCTGTCAGGGGATATGGCGGGAGGGAGACCATCAGGAAAAATAGCTAGTGCACGCTGGGCTTAATACCGAGGTGATGGGTTGATAGGTGCAGCAAACCACCATGGCACACATTTACCTGTGTAACAAACCTGCACATCCTGCACATGTACCCTGAAACTTAAAATAATTAAAAAAGAAGCTTTGCTGATTTTTAAAATGGATTTGCTTATTTATTTTTTATCAGCCCACATCATGCTTTGAGTTGAAATCTTCGCTGATTTTCTCAGAACCAGCAGGGACAACGCCCACTTGCATACATTGTGCGTTATCTCAGTCAAGGCTGAGCCCTGCTACCTGGGGGACAGCCAGCTAGAGGGACACCCCCAGAAGAGACTGAGAACTCAGAAGTTGCTGAAAAACTGCTAGGGAACTAGGCAGTGAAGTCCCAGAGTAGGGCATCACTTGTAGGAAAAGGGGGGCATGTGGGGTCCCGGGCAGCCAGGAGAGCACCCTGAAGGCACTGAAAAGCTTGGGCAGAGGCAAAAAGCCAGAGGAGAAAGAAGCTAGAAGTACAGGCAGGAAAAGACTAAAGAGAAATTTTGCTAATTCATGGCCATACCAAGGCCGTCCAGCAAGTTGCCCTGCTACATCTGAAATGTATATTCATTCATCTGTCAATTCATTCATTCATTTACTGAAGCAGGAGACATATACTGAGTATGTCCTGTGTACAAAGCATAGACAGTGCCATGGGCGACCCACAGACCTGCCCTGGGGCCTCATATGTCAGTGTAAACAAGGTATCTTTTCGATGAACAGCAGCATCATTGATTAACAGCATCTTTTGTACTAATTCTAGAGACACTGCAGTTCACGGGGCAGATGCTCCACTGTAAAGGTGAGGCTTCTCACACTATTTGTGGTGACGACTGGACTTCTGAGCTCTGACCACTGGGTGGTTCTACTGTGCATGACCAGAAAACAGCCTCTGCCACAAGTGACTTCTTGGAGACGTCCACGTCACCCGAACTGGTCTATATTCTGTTCAGTGAATCAAGGCCATGGATCATGTGCCTGAATGTTGTGGTAATGCCCAGCTGCTATAAAAGTTTCCAAGCATTTACTCTCAGTTCCTGTTCTTTCGTCATAGAGCAGTACCAGATCACTCTTGAACAGCACTGCCCTTGAGCATGGGTTCTGGAATCTATAGCATGGGTTCAAATTCTTCCTATGCCACCC